AAATTAAGCAATTTTTTTATTAAAAAGAACACTTTTGGCAATTTTGAGTTTGAAGAAGCTTGGCCAAACAGATTATTGAACTCATCTAAGCAAATAGTGGTTATGATTTAAAGTTAGGAATTGTTAGGATGAGATCCTTAATAGGATTTTTTTGTTTTCCCCGATGCCCGGTGCCTGTTTAGGCCTAACTAATAAAAATTCATATTGAAAATAAAGTGTTTCGTACCGAAAACGACTTCATTTTCTGAGTTCAAAGCTGAGGCTTTTGGTTAAGATAGAACCACAACTTTGTTGGACTGAAAAATGGTGTATTTAGTGAAGGTCGATTTTTACAGAGAAACCCTGAAGATGGCTAACGTTATTTCCTAAGTCTGAGTTTGGTCTGAAGAACCAAACTCCTTTAAACCAATGATGGTAAAGAAACCCGGTCCAATTGCTCAATTCTATTGGGTCTCTATCATTTGGGCTTCCTATCTTCATAATTGGGCTTCTTATCTTTATGCACAATTGGGCCTATTCAACAATGAAGACTGAAGCTTCTAGAAGAAAGTATTGTACAACTGTTATTTTTATTCTTTATTCATTGTATATGTTAGTTACAGATATACAAATAGAATAGTGACACATGTATAGGTGGTTATTTTCTTAGATTCCATTTAGCTTGTATATAAACACATGCACTGTACACAGCAAATACATCATCAGTATACAGAAAAACTTCTCAAGTCTTCTCTATTTTTACATGGTATCAGAGCAGGTTTAATCTGCTCAAATTCAATCGATTTTTTTTCTCTACCATGGATACTCCTTCTGACTCTACTGAGGTCCTTCCCTCAGCTTCCATCACTTCTAATGCTGCTACAGTTGCAGCGCCTGTAGGAGCTGGAACAGTGGATTCAGCACATCCTTACTATCTTCATCCTTTTGATTATCCAGGGATGAATCTTGTTTCCTCAGCTTTTGATGGAAGAGCTTATGGAGGATGGAGAAGGGCAGTGGTGATTGCTCTCTCAGCAAAAAACAAGCTGGGCTTCATTGATGGATCTTTGGTTGTTCCTGAGGCAGATTCTGGACTCCAAAGAGCATGGGCTAGATGTAATGATACGGTGCTCTCTTGGCTGCTCAATTCCCTTTCCAAAGAAATAGCTGAAAGTTTTCTATATTCCCAAAGTGCAAAGGACCTGTGGAGTGACCTAGAAGACAGATTTGGTCAGACAAATGGTGCCAAGCTATTTCAATTACAAAAGGAATTAAGTGCTGTAACTCAAGGTAACTCCAGTGTATCAAGTTATTTCACTAAGATAAAAAGCCTATGGGATGAACTAGATGCACTCAACACCTTCTCTGCTTGTATTTGTGACTGTGATTGTGGTGCTAAGGCTAAGAATTTGAAGGCTCATCAAGATGAGAGATTATTACAATTTTTAATGGGACTAAATGACACTTTCTTTGGAGTCAGAAGCAACATCCTGTTGTCATCTCCCTTACCCTCTATTGGACATGCTTATTCCCTTGTTATTCAGGATGAAAAATAGAGGGAAATACATGCCACTCTTGCTTACCCAGGAGAAACAGCCTCTTTCATTGCTGCTAATCAGGGAACAGGAGGAAAGAGAATCAATGATTATAAAACACAGAAAACAGGTTTTGATGCAAGGAAGAACACCAGTATTTGTTCCTACTGTAAGAAGCCTGGGCATACAATTGATAAATGCTATAGGATTCATGGTTTTCCAACAGATTTTAAGTTTACTAAACAGAGGAAGAACCAGGAAATTCCACAGGCAAACAATGCCTTTACCATGGCAGAAGAGTGTGGAAAAGGAGCTGAAAATGTTTCAGAGATGAATGCACTTACTCAGGAGAATGTGACACAGCTGCTTCAGTTGCTGCAACAAGTGAAGCTCAATCAGCAATCTGCAGGAACATCTGATGCCTCTGCCAGTGTGAATTGTGCTGGTATCTCTAAATTTTTCAACTCTTATGCCTGTTTCATGAATATAGATAATGAGTCATGGATAATAGACAGTGGAGCTACTGAGCATATGACTTTCAATAAAAGTTTCTTTTCAAATTTTAGAACCTTGCCTAAGCCTTTAATGGTCAATCTGCCTAATTCTTGTAGAGTTAGAGTCACTCATTTTGGTTCGGTCATTCTTCTACCTAATTTGGTATTGCAGAATGTATTATATATACCTTCTTTCAAGTTTAATCTTCTGTCTGTACACAAGTTTTGCAGACAGCTTCAGAAGTATATTCTTTTCACTCCTTTTTCTTGTGTTCTACTGCAGGGCCCTTCACCGAAGAGCCCTCTGGAGATTGGTAAGGAGAATGGAGGCCTCTATTTTCTTCACTCAAGGCAGCCTGCAGAAGTTTCCAAGAGTTTTCCTAAGTCTACTAATAGTCTAGTTTCTAGTGAGAAATCAAAGCCTAGTGCTATTTCCAATTCCTGTTTTACTTTTTCTGATCCTAATGTAAAAGAAAAGCTGTGCATTATAGGTTAGGCCACATGCCTTTAAATCATATGAAGAATATTTCATGTTCAACTATTCCTTCATGTTCTAAGTTTACTACTCCTTGTGTTATTTGTCCTATGGCAAGACAATCTAAGCTTCCTTTTCCTTCAAGTTCCATTTCTACTAAGCATGTGTTTGAGTTGATTCATGTGGACACTTGGGGTCCTTATAAAAATTGTACCTATGATGGTTTTAAGTATTTTCTTACCATTGTTGATGATTTTAGTAGGGGCACATGGACATATTTATTGAGCACCAAATCCAATGCCTACACTGTTTTAAAATCCTTTCTAGCCATGGTAGAAAGACAGTTTCACACCAAGGTAAAAATAATTAGATCAGACAATGCTTTTGAGCTTGGGAGTGGGAAATTACAAGCTGATTTCTTGCTTGGTGAAGGAATCATACATCAAACCACTTGTGTCTAGAAAGCATAAACATCTATTGGAAACCTCAAGGGCCCTCCTATTTCAATCTCACTTACCTATTTCTTATTGGGGGGATTGCCTGTGACAGCTACTCACCTAATTAACAGATTTCCTTCTAGAGTTCTAAGCTTAAAGACCCCTTATGAGGTTCTGTTCAACTCCAAACCAAATTATTCTTACCTTAAATGTTTTGGATGTTTGTATTTTGCCTCTACTCTATCAAATCATAGAGCCAAATTTGAATCTAGAGCAGTACCTTGTGTGTTTCTTGGTTATCCTCATAGCAAGAAGGGGTATAAGGTACTTAATCTTAAGACTCTCACCTTTTGTTTCAGGGGATGTGGTGTTTTATGAAGAGTTCTTTCCTTTTGCCTCTATCAATTCTACTGATTCTACTGCTTCCTTTCCGCCCTATTCTATCCAACCTCAACAACACCTATTTGTTCAAGACCTACCAATTAGACAGCCTTCTCCAATACCCAACACTTCTGCCTCCACACACCAACCACCTAACCCACATACTCCTACATCATCCAGGTTTTCTCCCTGTACTCAATCTGCAGGTCCCTCTAGCAGATCTCCAGGCTCTTTTTCTCAACCAAATAGTCCTCTACCCCTCTTCTCCTCACCAGCAACAGAACCCATGGTAGATCAATTACTTAGGAGGTCCACTAGAACTCACAAAACACCTTCCTACTTAAAGGACTACATTTGTAATGCTCTCC